ATAAATTCAAATTTTGCTGAGACTTTAAATATGTAGTACTAGGCTAATTTAGGAACAAAACAATACACAATAAGAAGGTAGTTTGACACAGCCTGGTATCATGAAGTTACTAGAGCAGGGATTTCCAGTCATGGGTTGTGACCCTAAAAGGGGTGTGAAGAGTTTTCTATGGGATCACAGACTTTAAAATGTAATATTTTTATTTGAACAATAATTATTTTATAATAACTCCCAATAGCATCTTTAGATAATAGTGCTATTAATGAATAATGGCATCAACATTGAACAGAAGGCGAATTTTCATTTATATGACCCTGAAACTTTACTTTCCCATTATAATCAGCAAGCTCTAAGTAAACACAGTTATCTTCTGTAATAAGTACATTTTATTTTTCAACTGAATCTCAAATTTTAAATTCACAAAATTGTTAAAATGAATTGTCTGACATGTTATAGTCCCTAGTTTTTAATTGGTTTTTATATCAATAGTAAATAGCATAGTTTAATTAGATGTAATCTTGAGCATATGAAATTGCACAATTTTTGGGGGGTTATGCAATGTATCACCATGATGAGGTACTTTCTTTTGTTGGATGGCTCACAAAATATGAGTCCTTGTAATTCTGACATAAGGAACATTTTACAAAATAATCTTGACTTCTTTTCTTTTTTTAAACGAATGTATTAACATACATATTGTCCTATGTGAATCACATAACAATGCAAAAATATTCGACCAATGTGGCCTAAATATACCACTTGGATTATGGCCCATGAAGTTTAAGCTTGTGCTTTGAAGTTGAAGCATCATAGCAGATCAGCCCTGGCTTTATAAGCATCATAGCAGATCAGCCCTGGTTTTATAAGCATCATAACAGATAGCCCTGGTTTTATATAAGCATCATAGAAGATCAGCCCTGTTTTTATAAGCATCATAGCAGATCAGCCCTGGGACTAAAATTAATAATTTAAAAATAACTGGAATGCTATTCAAATTAGTTTAGATGATTATTAAAATTAATTATTTTCTATTCCATTTCCTTATATTTTGCTTGGGAAAAAAGCCAATTTCATAGAAATTACATATTATCATCCTCTTTTTAACTTACACATTCCACTTTAAGGTAATAAATTGTATGACAATGAATTAATCATTTTGTTGAATATTGTTATTCTTTTCAATGTTGTTGTAATGTACCGGTAGTAATTGTTGATGTTTTCGTGAAAAATATGTGTTAAAATTAAAATAACAGATTTTTTTTTTTTCTGTGTGCACATTTTGTCATTATTATTTGCAGCTAAATACAATTGAGTTTTCCTTTATTGAACATAATAAAGTATTAAGGTACAATAACAAAGAATGATAAACAATTATTCAGCCAACCTTTGATGTTCAGTGTTTCCCGACCTTTTTTGTGCCATGCCCCACCAAAAATTCTTATGCCCCATATGAAATATATACATAATTTTTAATATTCAAAAATTAAATTTTTCACTGAATGAAAACTCAATGATAGGTTTTAGGGAGAACGAAAAACGCTTTAAGAATGTATAGGTTATACAAAGAGATTTTTAAGGAAACACAGTAAGTAAATTTTCTAAATATATTATTGATAACTGAAATTCAAGTAAAGATTTTTCAAAATAAAATGTAATTATATATTTTTTCATTTATTTTTTAATAATTTTAAAATACAACGAGAGATCACAAATACCGTGTGAGATGACTATTTTAATGAGAAACTTGCACTTGATGCTTGCTGCTCAGAGATTTTATGCTAGGCTCCAATTTAGATAGCTTCAGTCTCCCCGCTGTGTTATGTCCAGTCGATTTCTTTTTTATTTCAGCAACAAATCACTCATGGCACTAAATCCACATTCAGCTAAATATGAAGATGGAAACAGTAACAATAGCTGTCTTGCACATTTGGTCGAATTAGGATATTTGATTTCAGCTTTCTCGCAAAGTTATGCCATTGCTCCTTGTATATTAAATAAAGTTTTAACAGACTCATTTTGCATTTCTGCGAGCTGTTCTTGATATTGCATAGGGGTCGTCCATTAATTAATTAAACAATTTCTAAGCAATTCCCCCCCCCCGCCCCCCTTGTCAACAACTGTCAAACTTTCAATGACCCTCCCTTTTTAATTATGTCAACATTTTCTAACTCAAACCTCCCCCCCCTCCCAAAAAAAAGAAAAAAAAAAGGAATTATATTATAAATAAATTTATAAATACATTTTACTTTATGAAGGTATATTTTAATAACAATAAAATTGTAGGAAAAACATTTCATTACATCTTTAGCTTGTTAATCAACAAGTTAAAAAGTTTTTACACTTGAATTTTATAATGCAGAATCCATTGAACGGTTGTTAAAGACTAAATATCATTGTTTGTAGAAGTATAAATATGATTATTGTTAGTAAAGCTGATAATTATAGTATAGTTTCTAGCTGCTATCATCTTCCCAAGGAATAGCCAGGTTTGCTCTATCGTAACCATGGGCATCAGGGACATCATTTGGATAGGGCAGGGGGGAATTTGCCCCCCACCCGGTAAGCTGCAGGTTTTTAAAAATTGCTACGTGCTGTGGCGCCTCCAGTAATAAACAACTTAACAAGCCGAACAAGTTTTGGTTTTGCCCCCCTCCACCCCCCACCCCTTAAAAAATGAAATAACGCCCTTGATGGGCATAGTCTATAGCAACTGATTGATCATTTTCATCTTGTGGCACTGACATACCAGGCAAGTCAACATCATCCTCATCCAACACTTAAAACACAAGCATTGTCGGTGTGAGCAATAAATGCCATAAGCTCTCTCTATCTCCTTGCAGCTACTCGCATTGGTCGAATCCTTTTTTGTTGCGGAGCAGATGCTAATTTCTTATGCTCAAGAGGGCATTGTCAGTTCTGTTGAACATGCTTTTCAACATGACTTGTGATGCAAAATAGATGTTACAGATTTTGAAAATCCCTCAAGCAGTGATTTTATTATTGTTACTCCTACTCTATCAATATCATTTATCTTGACTGCAAATGACACTTGAACCTTGTTCCATACCTGCAACAGAATCTACAGATGAAGAGAGGCCAACTTTTGACGTCTCTTGCATTAACAAAGTGTGCTAACATTCTGGCCAGCCATCTGCAGTGCACAGACACACATTAATTAAATCTTATATTTGTTAAAAGCCTAAAATTTAAATGACTATTTTAATTTACTCTCATAAATTTTTTAAAATAATCTAATAACCAGTCAATTTATAAGGTTAAAATTTAAAGAGAAAACAAGATTGTTGACATCAACTAATCTAAACCCCCTCCCTCCCCCTTGTCAACAACTTTCAAACATTTCCACCCCCATCCCCCTATTTTGTTAACGTAATTAATGGACGCCCTCATATTTGAAATATCAGACAAATTAATTAACATTGGCTGCATCATCCAAGTCGGAAAATCACTGTGTTTTAAATCACAAAATCTCTCTACTAAATCTGGTGACACAATTTTTAGATGATTGATTATAACAAGTATAGCAGTATCAGTCACTTCACATTTTTTGAGCCAATTAAACTTTACACAATTTTTGGTTGCAAACTTATTTCTGACATAGTTCAATCAATTTAATGGAACCAATATCTTTGCTTTTGCATCGAGAAGAGATTTATTTGCTCTTTGAAGTTGGCTGTTTAATATATTGAGTTTTTCAAACAAATCACACATGCTTTACCATCAACTGTTTATAGGTACTTTATTTCAGGTTTTTCACTTTAAAAATCCCCAAAAGTATCAAATAGTTCCATGAATTATTTTTAAGCAGTTCTCTTTCGAGGGCCACCTTACTTGAGTGCGAAGTTACCACATGGTCTGCATTTTGTGCTTGAAGAGATGCTCACACTTGGTATTAGCTTTCACAGCATTGATACACTTTAGAACTTCATTTAGTACTTCATTAAGAACAGGTGAAATATTTTTAACTACCAAGTTTTCATTATGAATAACGCAATGCACAAGAGGCATTTCTAGATTCTCATCCTTCATCAATTTAAGCAGCCATTTTTCTTCCTCGTCTTATTAGGAGCACCATCTGCAGCACAAGATATTATATTTTTCATTTGTACATTGACATCTAAGTACTTTTTTTTAGCCTGTAGTGGAGCTTTCAATTGATTTACAGATCAACATTTCTTCAGCAACATCTCCATTATTAATATATATCTCACGTAAATTATTTGTACTGTCTCTCAAAGTTGAATCTTTCATTTGCACTGAGAATTTCTTTGTTTTTGGCTTTTGTATTCAATATCTTTGCTTATTTCATCTATTCTTCTGCTGACAGTATCCATGTCCTTGTTATCTTTTGCCAGAACTGTTTTAAGAAATGCTGATATTGATAGTTTGATTAATTCTCTCTTTTGTATCATTTTCCCCAGATTTAGCAATGAGAGAAGATCTCTAACAATTCTCCTTTTAAAATACAACTTTAATCATAGCACATGATTGGATTTCAAATTTTAGACAGCTCCTTTTCAAATTGCCCCCCTGTGAGGGGTGGGCCCCATGTTGGGAAGCGCTGATATAGTTGTTTAGCAATGAATAGAAGCTCTTTATATGTTAAAAGGGTAGACAATTATAGTTCACTGAAAAGCCATTTTAATGGTCATGCTATTATTTTTTTCTAGCTCAACAATAAAAAGAAACAATTCATTCAACTGGTATGATTAGAAGTAGAAAGCAATCATTGTGACACAAACCATACATGTATTCAAAACACAACAATGCATTCAAATGGTGTGATTAGAAGTAAAAGGCAATCATTAATCATTGTGACACAAACCATGCATATTCAAAACAAAAGAAAATCATATAAAATGAAACTTTATTGAAATATTCAGAGGTATATAATATGAAAATTATTTTTTTATGTTAAAAATGAGGTTATAATTTAGAAACCGTTTTAAAAACTTATCAGTGAATAAGTATATTTATAACTGTCTAATAATAAAACATTGATGATGTTAACTCAAAGCTAATTGAAGTAATATTAAAACTCAAAGAAAGTCTTAACATTTACACATATTGGCTGCTTTCATAACTAACTGGCAACTTAATGTACACAATGAATTAAGGCTAAACATTTTTTTTCTCACATTTTTTTAAGATCCTCACATATTTATCATGATCACATGTTTTACCCTGGCATATAAAGAAACTCCCTAAGTGTATCGGAAAATTGTTGAGAAACTGCTTCCATCTCACTATTTCTAATAGAGTTAGAAATAAGACCGTAATCCAATAAAGATTCTCTGATATCATTTCTTGAAGAGTCATACAAAGAGACTCCAATAAGGCCAGTTGGGTATCTGGAAAAAGAGCAAATATACATTTGATAAATAAAGTCAGTCCTGCCATTTGAATAATGTAGGCACAGTGGAAAGGAGTGGAGGGGTATTTAGGAGATTTATGGGGAAAGGGAAGGAGTCTTGGCAGAATATGTACATACATTTATGCATGCATTATGCAATAAATATACTGAAATTATGAAAATCATTAGTCTATTTTTATCTCTAAAATACCAAAACTGTCACCAATAAATTCGTAGTTTCTATTGTTTTCTAATGCTATAAAAATCATTGGGATGTTCCATAATTATTGTCATACAGTTGCTTTGTGTTTTCACAAATGAACTCTCTAGATATTGCAAATGTAATATTTAGCCTAGAAAAACTTTAGTTCACTACACGACTTTTTATGTTTCCTTGCTTATTATTTTTTTATATAATATAATTATTTCCTTTGGCCAAATAAGTGATTGGCCAAACAAGTGGTTGGCCATCTATGGCTCTCTGAAGGAGTGGAAGCTGCCCCATTTTTTGTTTACTAAGCTTTAATTATATTTAAATAATCAGCCTCCAATTGCAACTTCCAAAATATTTTCTAAGCAGATACAATTTATGAAAATGTCTCCTCTATGAAGAAAAGGATGCTGACCCCTGGGCTGAACCGAAAATTGTCAATTAATTAAGATACAATGTAGGTACTTTGGTACTTGCTGCACCAAACAGCCAGCGGAGGTTGAGAAAAGGGGAGAAAACCTGTGATTTAAATTTTAAACACCGTTTATGGTGGCATAGGTTAATAAATTGATTGGAGAGGGAAGAAGATCATTTGCACATACACAAAGTTGTAAAGGGGCCCGGGGGGGGGGGGGGGAAAAGGGGGAACATAAGGGTTCAACATGGAGAGTACTATGAAGATATGAGGTGGGACAATTTTTTTTTTGCCTACGTAATTTATGGACAGCCCCTAATTGCACCTTTAAGTCCTTGCATGGTTTATAATAATTTATTGTTTTTATACAAACCAAATTGAAAAAAAAACCTACCATAATGGCAATATAAACAAAAATATAAAGAAAACAAAAATTGTGTCAAGATCTTTTGTAATTAGTCAGCTATCAGATGAATATATAACCAAAAACAGTAACCAGTATATGAGGCACACTTTACCTGTACTTCACTTGAAGGACTATTGGTTTCCCCATCACCAGTTTAGCAAAAGCATTGCTGTAAATTTTTTTAAAAGTTCTTATTAAAGGGAATCATGATAGCATAATTTTTCACCGTAGAAATATCTTTTTTTAAATTGCAAAATACAATTTTAAGACTATTTGATCTGTCAAATTTTGTAACAATTGAAGTGTAAAAATTCTTTAATGAATTGTATTGTCCCTGAGCCTTCCCTTGCTTTAGAGTAGGGTGTCTGTCTTTTGGCTTCACTGTTAATTGGTATTTTATCATACATGGTTTGTGTTATAGTTCTTCAGTTAAAATCGCCTATGACCACCTTAATCATCTTAATCATCGATATACTAATAGTGAACTAGGCTGTGGGTGCGCAGATGGTTGATGTGACCGTTGTGCACTTGACTGTGAGTGCGCAGATGGATGATGTGACCATTGTGAACTTGGCTGTGGGGGCGCAGTTGGTTGATGTGACCGTTGTGAACTTGACTGTGGGTGCGCAGTTGGTTGATGTGACCGTTGTGAACTTGGCTGTGGGGGCGCAGTTGGTTGATGTGACCGTTGTGAACTTGACTGTGGGGGCGCAGATGGTTGATGAGACAGATTCTGGCATGAAATGTTCGTGTACAGTAAGTGCAGGGGATTGATGGGACATCTCCGGATGGAGGGTTAACACGGTCTTTTCTGGCATGTCATTTGTGCTCTGTAGCCACTGTTATGTTGGCTTCATGATGTATGGAGCCTTTGTGTACAGACGAATGCTGGATGATCTGTCCCTTTCCACTTCTCATGTGTACGTGTCTGTGATGATACCAATGTTCTTTACCATAGGAATTAATTTTAATTTTAAGAGTCTGACTTACATACGTTGGCCTATTAGTTCCAAATCCCTTATCAATAACCTATTGTTGCAACTTCTATTGCTTCAAAAGCTTATCAAAATAATCTCAAGGAAACATTTAAGCCTTGATGTCTCATATAATAAGTTAAAACAGCGTTTCCCAAACATTTTTTTCCTTCTTTTTTGTTCTTCCTTATGTTTGTGGGCCCAATTTATTGATCATTCTGCTCCTGGTTTTAATTCAGAGTTTGTCTTCTCTTAGATGAATCCAAGGCTAGAAAGTCCCATCCACCCGGAAGTGTTTGAGATGTTTTTTGCTTGGTGGGGATTGAACTCCAGACCACCAGCTATTTGGATTGAGTCAGCTTAGACCGCTCTGCCACCCAGTGACCCGGTTATTTTTGTACTTCTCTTTTGGGACACTCATTTTTATCAGCTCTACTGGCCTTTATGTAAAACATCACAGATAAGAATTTCCACACAGTTTTCATAGATTATATAATTAATAAAGCATATACTCCTAAAAAAATGCCAAGAAAACTTACCAATAATTTATTAATGAATGTGTCATGATAATATAACCTAGATATTCGATCATTTTTAAAAAAAATTCTTTCAGCGGCCCGGTAATTTTCATTTTCTGACCCGATACCGGGTCGTGACTCAGCATTTGGGAAACGCTGAGTTAGAAGATATGCCTTGTATTTAAAACATAAGTCACAACTAAATTATCTCTACCTAGGGTTGGTTGATTAGGAGATTTTGTGCTTAATACAATTAATACAGAGGATTTATTGCTGATGGAGGGTTGTTAACAGATATGCTCAAGCACAACATTTATTAAAGCCATAGAAACTTAACTAATAATTTCAATAAAAAAATTTAACCATAAACTTGCAAAATGTTAATTAGTTCTTTAATAAGACAGGTTTTTAAAAAAATAGGAGATTAAATGTGAAAATTGTATCTCTATATGTTTGTGAAAGTGATTTAAAAAAAACTATTCCTGCATACCAAGCACTGCATGTCCATCCTTCAAATTCATCTTTTGGTACAAAATCACTCAATGCACATTCAACTGCTTGAGGAGTCAAATGAATAAATTGTAGCTGTAATTCTCTGATGTCTCTCTCATTTACCCATTCCAGGTTCCCATAATCTACAGACATGACCTGTCATGAAATTTTAAACAATTATTGTCTATCCCATCAGATGTTTAATGTAGTTTTATCCACTATTTAGAGTGTGAATATGAGGAAATCCTATGTTATATGAATGTTTCATTCTTTTTATTTTTACTACTCTATGGAGCCAGAAACTGTCAATCAAAAGCTGTTTATATACATAACCAATTCAGATAGAAAAAAATAAATATATTGCTTGCATGCAAAGGGAAATGATAACTGATTTAAATGCTATTAATTTAAAAAAGTAATGTTTTGGTTTTTTTATGGTCGTTTTAATTTTTTAAAATTTTTGTAAAATGTTTTTGGGAATCTGTGTATGAGTTTTCCATTCCCAGGGGTTGGCATGAAAGGTCTAAACAAGGGGAGGGTAACCTATTGTTTGTGGGTCACATGAGGCACACTGCAAAGACATGCCTGCATAGCACTAGATGTTTTTGTAAAATGTACAAATTGTGAATAATTATCTGTACAGCTTTTGAAATTTAACAATTCCAGTGTAATATTTTCAAATTGTAATAATATTCCACTGCTTATTTTCTATCTCAAAATTAATTTTCGAAGCCCATCTTCAATGAAATATATAAAAATTAGACCCGTTATTCTTTGAAAAATCTTGCAGAGCCAACAAGCCTAGTGATTTCATTAGCATTGGAATATAACTGCTGAAAAAAAAAGATTATCAAGGTATTTCCAAACTTTATTCCTCATTACATGCCAGTGATATCACTCTCTGAGGCGGAGTTATTGTATCCGCCTTGGCACTTTATATTTATGTAAAATTCATTTTTAAAATGTGTTTAATTAATTTTCTAAAGGTCTAGAGTCTTAGAAAGGTTCCATGCAGCCCTTTCACAAGAAATGTTGTCTGACTCTGGTCTAAAATTTTTATAAAGTAGCCTTCTGACAATTTTACAACGAAAAAATGTTTTCCCCCCTTTCAGACCCTTTGACATCAAACAGGTCTTATAATAATGCTAAAACTAAAATGTGACATCAAATTAACCTGGACTAAACATCCTTCAACATCTGTGTCAATCACTTTTGCTCTCATCCATATCCCTCTTATCTTGGCAGCTACTGCTTGACCAGGTGCTAACAGTGTCAGATCACCATCATAGTAGATGCTGGTTTTATAATATTTCCTTGAATACATTAAATATATTAAATATAAAGTACCGGCATTGACATTTAATTTTTTTATTTCTCTATATTATTCAATAAATATGAACTGCATAATTTTTTTTTCTCCATATCATCTATTTTTTAAATTAATGAATCATTCAGAAATTCTTTCAATAGATAACGCCAATAAATAATAATGTTTTTTTTTCTGCAATACTATAAAAACTCACTGCATGTTAGCCATAAGCCCATTCAGAGATTCTTCTTCCAGACAGGCCTCTACAATGTTTGAATTATGGGTTCTTACAGGTCCACCGTGTAAATTTACATAAAACTGACTAAGGCTTTTGACATTGGTCACAGTGACATTGCAGTATGACCCATGTTGCGGCAGCAATAGAGTTTGATCCTCATCAAACATGAGTACAGGGACTTTATCATATGTTGTATCTGATGAAGACAAACATGAGTATAGGGACTTTATCATACATTGTATCACAATAAGACAGAGCTCTAACATAAGTGTATCAAGTAGATTCAATTTTTCATCAATACTTTCAAATCTGCATAATGTTTTTAAAGCATTAAATCTTCACATTTATTCACCTGCATCTTGTACTTTTACATGAAGATTTGGGCAGTTCACTCCCCTCTTGCATCCACTTGACTTGTTAAAATAAGCACACACTCTTCTTCTATCCTTGGCACCTTGAGCGGCAGCTTTATAATGGAATAAATTAAATGTATGTCTAGTGGGTTCCCAACCAATGGTTCATGACCCCAAATCAGGCCATAAAGGGTTTTCTGTGGGTTTGCAGGCTGAATAAGTAAACTAAAAAAATGATTAGCAATTTTTCATTTAGCATGTGTCCTCGAGTTTGAATAATATTTAATATCACAATACTCCCATTTGTTTCTACAAATCTCTGTGATGGCCTCCCTAAAAAAATTTTCATGTGTCTATGTGTGACAAATAGTGCTTGTCTGGGAGTAGGTCCCCTTCAAACAGCCATAGAAAACAATGTAAGTAAGAGTATACAACTGTCTCCTAGTTAGCCCTTAAAAGGCTGTGTAGTGTGACGTTGAATCATCATGTAAAAAGTTCAGATTTCTTTATTTATTAGTGTGCTGTTATTAGTTCACAAATGGCCCAACAAGTAATTACTGGCATTCAAAATAGAAAACATGTACAAAAACAATCTCCTTTTAAAAAATACTAAGATCCACTCTACTCCTTTAAAAAATACCAAGAATATTAAGTTTCTCTCCTAGCAAAAATACTAAGTTTCTCTCCTAGCAAAAATACTAAGTGCCTCTCCTGGCAAAAATACTAAGTGTCTCTTGCACACAAAATGTACACAGCTTTTATACCTAGGTTTTTAATTATCACTCCGATGCCGTCATGCGTGGCTGAGCCAAATCATGATTAAAGGTAAACTATAACCCAAACGTCACGACATGACACACCAGACCTACATCATGTAATCTGACTGTGACGCCATGAACCCCTATGGCCTGTTAAATGAAGGCCAAAATCCCCTCTGCCAGTCATATGGAGGCCACAGACCCCTTTTTGAAATTAAATTTTTTAAATGCATATAATATAATAAAATTACTAAGGAAATGCAGCTCACGGAGCCCAACACCTTTTCAGGAGCCTCATAGGGGTCATGGACCACAAGTCAAGCCCTGTGCTATAGATATCAATTAACAAGTTTGCGTAAGTGTAGATAATATAGCCGCTGTTTTGTCACCGATTATAAAATACACAACTTATAGATAGACATAGTAGAACATTTTAAAGTAAATAAAATTGCATTTGTTTTTTTACTGAATGGTTTGTACTATGTTAAAAATGGTATACATATATATATATGTTAACATATACAGAGTTTATAGAAAAAGGCTAAGAAAAAGTAAGATTATCTGTGAAGCCCACCAGAAATCAACAGAATTTAGATCAAAACTGGATGAGCTGACTTTATTAAAAATCCCTTTTTTTGTGTCTTGGAAGTTTGGACCAAGTTTTGTCATTTGCAGGATGGCTAGAAACACATACGAAGGGGTTGTCAACATATATTCTTTTGTTAGCAGTTCTTTAATGACAAGGAAAATGTCCGTTAGAAAATACTAAACAAGGCAGAGGCGTCAGTAGGTTCATTGTCACCTGCTGCAGAAACGAAATCATGTGTGTGTGTGTGTGTGTGTGAAGTTAAATCAGGATTTTTCTAAAGTTAACCACCTTAAATGAGTTGAAATACAAATATATTTAATTTGTTATCAATATTACCTCTAAATTGTGAATCTTAAGGTCTAAAAAGGCAAATATTTTGAAATTCAATCATCTTTATAGCAGCATAAAAACCTCTTTTTTTCCCCCACTAAATGGGGGAGGAGGAGACATTAAACCATTTTAGGTGATCTGGTGGGGCATTGGGAATAGCTGGGAAACACTGACATTAAACGTGTTACTTTTGAACATCACAGGCACAGAAAGGAGTATCATTCCACTAGTGGCGGCACAAAAAGGAGTATCATTCCACTAGTGGCGTAGGGAAAAGGGTGGGGGGGGGGGGGAGGGGGCAATATTATGACTCAATTTGTATATAACACTTGAAATGATAACTTTTATGTAAACCACGGGCCATTTACTATTGACCAGTCATCAGTTCAGCATGTTAGTGATAGAGTATCTTGACATGATACCCCATCAATGAATACAAAAAAACAGCTACTGAGACAAGCTGGTCACAGAACAGGTTTTTAAAACATTTGCTTATTGTTATTGTTATTTTTTAAAATGAGGAACTCACTACGCAGGTACTAAGGGACAACAACTCCAGCTGTTGCTGTGCAGTTCATTATCATACAAGTCAATTATGTCTCAGGGACACAGCAAGCATTTCAGTTTACATTTAATATATTGCCTTCTGTAGCACAGACCCATAAACTACCACATCGCTAACTACTTCAAGTTGCGGTCATGCACAGTGATATTACTGGATCTACAGGAAATACTTTACTTAACAATTGCAACTACACCAATGAAACCCACACTGGGCTTTTTAACATCAACAGTGTCAGTGCCGTCAACAATGTCAGTGTTGTCAACTTGACCAACAATCCGCCTGGCAGATGGGTATGGGTTGAGTTTGGAGAGCTCCCAGAAATGCCAGGACATGCTGCGATCGTGGCTACCTTAATTCTCTCAGCATTTGCCTTTCTTTGCAGCTGCTTTGTACTGACTGCTACTTATTTCATCAGCGGTGGTGGTAGTGCCACCCTTGTATATTTACGAAGTCTGTGTTTGTCTGATGCACTCATGTCAACATATGGGATCTCAAAGATGATTATGTTATTGTATATAACTTCTCTCAATGTCAACTTCTTCTTACCAGAGAGTATTTTCTGGACAACATCACTCACCTCCGTAATGTCGCTGCTGTCATTACTCTTCGACTGCTTTTTGAAACTAGCAAGACCAAATAAATACACACAGGTAGGAGGAATGCATCTAATGTTTTATATTTTGTAATATTTTCATGCTAACTTAATAAGAGTAAATTTAACCCGCACATGAACTAAAATATCCAATAGGTGTGTCAAATTTTAGCCTAATGAGTGGGTATGTTTCATGTACATAAAAGTAGTATCAAAAGTATAAGTCAGACTAAAATGGGCCAAAATTGGCTGCAGTGGGATTTTAAAATTTTTGTATAAGCACAAACCATTTGCATTTTTTTTAAAAACAAAGTACAGTGCCATCTTAACAAACTAGGCTAACATGGGTACTGCCCAGGGCCCCCAAAATGCTTAAACTATGTATACTTTATTATGTTAGAGACTAATATGGGGAGGGGGAATGCATTTCTTTACCCAGGGGCCCCTTTGCTGTTAAGACAGCACTAACAAGGCATGTTGATATGTTTCCTTGGAGTACTTTTTACTGAGACTATTTTAATTTTCTGAAACATTTTTAGTACCAGTATTATGTTTTATGAGCAGACATTTTATACCAATCTTATATATAAAATGCCAAAAGCAAAATAAGCAAAAGAGAGCATATTTATGAGTCAGCCCTAATTATAATTTGCACACACCATCCCACCCAACCCCCTTGATTAATACTTTCTGCTGTTAAATTCGACCTAGAAAGAAATACACAGTGAAAATGATAAATTAAGGAACATCTTTATCAATGTTCCAAAACATCTCATGGGCAGCACTTTTTGGCAGTCCTTGAAAACCAGTGCCTGTTCAAAGAAATCTTTCTAGGAGTGCAAGAACACATAATTATATTAAATCATTTTATTATATATGTACTTTGTCATATTTTAAAATGAAATTATACGCATAAAATTTTCTGTTTTCAGGTACACAAAGACACAGTTATATCAATAATGCTGCTCATTTGGAACATGTCCTTTGTAATCGGGTTCCTGCCCCTTGTAGGGTGGAACAATAAGGATTATACGGCTCGTTTCTTTAATTTCTTTCCATGGCCATACCTACTTTTTATTGCTTCTCTAATTAGTGGATGCTTTATAGCGTGCATTGCATTTATGTTTTTGCTGACAAAAGTTTTTAATTTATTAAAGGCTTCTGGTCCTGATCATTCGTTAGAACGACCTTTTGAGTTGCAAAAGCGTCACCATATACAGTTTACTATCGTAGCTGATTTTGTCATGTGGCTAATGTGCTATCTCCCATTTTTCTTGTACATTGGTCTCACCTGTCCACAGTGCCTCATTTCTGACTACGCACAACGAGACACAACAATCCTATACTTCATACCAGTATTTACCCTCAAGTCTCTGCTCAGTTCAGCTCTACAGGCTTTCCGAACAATAAAGATTCATCTACTTATGAGTAAAATCCTTCCAAACAAGAATCGGTTCCAGCAAAAATGCGAGGAACAAGTGGAATTTTCTAATGGTGATCTGATTGTGAGCATGGCCTTCATAAACCCCCAGTTTATGTTCGACAGGATAGGTCAACACAGCCTAATTAAATTGCACCATACTAGCAACGATACAGATATAACAGACCTAACCCAAATATGTGCCATGTGTACAAGTAGAGCGGGCACAACTAACCTAGGCTATCAACCATCTTTAGAACATTTACAAACTATTTACAATTTCACGATGGAGACAACTTCCTTGTAAAATCAAGAGGCTTAAATATTGCTTTACTTAATTATAAAAGGATATCAACAACTAGAAAACTAATCATCACAGCGCGTGTTGCTGCTTCTCTCTTTTCATTTGGGAGATTATTTATTGATTAGCTTACTTTCATTTAATGTGCCTACGCTCTTATCACTAACCATGCAAATGTAATTCAAGCATTAAATAGTTTGTCTAAAATAAGGACTCTGGGAATAAAAGGAAGAGGTAGACGTTCATACGCAACAAAAATTAATCTAATAATTAATAATTAAAGTAATCAAGCAAAAGCTGTTGATTTGTATATTTTTTATGTTATGTTATTATAACATTCCATTCACTTTAACAAATAATCTCTACATTTTTTACTTCCCCCATCTCTAAATTTTAGAAGAAAAGGGGGGAGGGGTGTTTGTGCGTGTGCAAATAACGCCCTTTTTTCTGAGGACACCAATTCTGTTTAAGTTGGTGTGGCTGGCTTAAATATTTAAGTCTCACCTGAAATTAAAAAAATTTATAGACACACGACGTGCTGACCCCATTTAAACCTTAAGCAAAATAAGCTCATCCTTAGGGCATCAGGAGAATGTGGGCACCACAAAAATATACAAAGGAAAAAATCAATAATTTTTTTAAATAATTAAAAATCTACTAACAGCTAAATATTTTAGAACCCCAAAAATTGGAGAGTCTTCTATACTAAATCATGTGCTACTCATTGAAGACCAACTGCAATTGTCTGAGAAGAGGAGATTTCAGAAGAAGGAAAATAAGTATTTCCATGACCAGGTCACCACCACCTTAAATAAAGCTGTGAGAAGATACAATATGGTATGCAGAAATCGTCATGACTAAAAAGACTCCACATTACTAAAACTGATAATATGAATTGAAATGCCAACAATTTCGCAATTGAACAAACTTTTTTAGTGATAAATACAGTACTCCTTGTATACTTTTTGTAGAGGTCCTGCCCAACTTGACCAAATTGAATCCCGAAATCTCCAGGAATGCCACCCCTAATTACAATACTTAAAATATGTTTAACAGGTAAGACATGTAAGACACTACTTTTAGCTGTTCTTTTCATATTTCAAAATCAATCTGATGCTTTCCAGCACAAAATAGCATTTACAACTCATTGGTTTGAACAGCTGTTCCATTGATTTAAAGGTTGAGCAAATATGACTGACAAAGAATTGTTGCTATACAATATAAGAGTAAACCCAGAATCTGTTATCTGCAACAAACATATTTATGAAATTCGTTGAATCCTTTCAACAAGCTGTTGTCCAGCGTTAAAGGTTGGTATTTGTGGCCATCTGATTAACCCATGGCCTATATAAAACACTTATTGAAAATGTATGTAAAAAACAATCTAGAGAAAGCTCCACTAGAGAGTTGTTAAATATTTTTACAGCACCAAAGTACTTGGGCTGAGCCAGGTGTGGACACCCAGTACGGGTCAAGGTATTTTGAGATAATTCTCGGGGGGCCAAATTCTGATATAAAAAAAAAAAAATTATCTTCTCATTTTCTATATTGTGTTCCACCCAATGGGATGAGAAGAAGTGAAATGTGCATGTAGAGAACCAGTAGCAATGACAAAGGCATCAAAGTTGAAGGCTTAAAAACGCTAACAGCTTAATAACATAATCCTAACCCAGTGGTTCTCAAATTTTTTAATAAAATTTACCAAGTTATGGTGAACCACAACCAAAAATATAACTTGAAATTGATAAAAAGATGTTGAGAAGAGGGAGGGGGTAGAGTTTTTTTGCATATAAAAAGTTGTTAGTACTGTAACTTTGATGAGGGGGTGGGGGGGGGGGTGGAGGGAAGCAGAAATAAGGACTGAGAAGGGTGGAGGGTTCTGTATAGGGGTGCTCAGTAAGTCAGTTGCCAGAAAATTTGTGGTAAATTCACACACCTGGTTATAGTTTTGCATGGAAGGTGCCAACTTTTAAGTTTAGGCACACAAAAAAACAAAAAAATGAAACAAAGAAAGAAAGTTAAAAAATAATTAAAATAATATATACCAGTTATAGCTCGGCAAACATTGGCGATAGCAATGCATGAAATTCCCATCAAATAAGTTACTTGACAAAACATGAACTCAAGTAACTCACATTTAAGAATCCCAATTTTCGCTACACCCCTTCCCCACATGATAGGTCACTGCACACTTTTTATTTCACGCTATGAACTATATTAAATATTCTGATGTCCCACCACTTTTAAACCGAATATTTATTACACCATATTTAAATTGAGACGATTTCATGTTCCAAAAAGAAAATGTTACACAAAAAATGCAGTTGCACTATTTAAAAAAAAATTATTTAGTGTAGTTATTAGGAATTATACTTTGTGCGCTATTCGGATATATAATGTAATTTTTTTTAAAGAAACAAAACTGCTAAATATTTATTTTAAATTAGCTGCCCACATCTACTCCAAGAATCATAGTTTTTTTTAAATTTTATGTAACTCTAGTGTGTACAAGTGAGGTAACAATAAGAAACTAGACCAATCACTGTAAATAATATTTAAAATATAAAAAATGCAAATTTTACACTCGGAACAGCACACCCCAAACACCCCCCCCCCACCCCCTCTGAAATCTTCTTCTTCTTCTATATCTTAAGGGCCCATGATCAATTTATTGATCATTTTGGCTCCTATGCATGTAGATGGGATTTGCAATGTTTCTGTTCCTGGTGTTGATGAGGAAATTTCACTGATTTCTATTTCTATTGCCACTTTGTGAGGGAATCATGCATTAGGGGTTTGAAGGCTTGAGGCAATAGACACAAATGTGTCTAGTGTTGTCGCTTCAACCGTTCCCTTTGAAAGATTGTTCCAGTCCCTGATTGTCTTGGGCAGGAATGAGCAGCTCCTATACTGGCTTCTTCCCTGAATTGCCTGTCATGGAAATTATCAAGCAACCCCTGACATTTAGTAAGGCGACCCCCAAAGGTATCGTGGAGAATCACTGCCCTAACCCACAAATATAAGAAAAATAAACATGGAGCAGATCTTTGCTATAGTGGCTTTAGTGTTGCTAGACACAGATGTTAGCATTTTTCTTTTTTTTTAAACCAATGTACACATATTATTTTAATACATATTTATATCATCATCATGGAGATCATAGGCTTCGTTCATTCAGTTAAGCCAATTGCTTCACCTATTAAATGAGTGTTAAATTGCATTATTATTATTGAGTTCTATGACATAACTTATATAAATGACACACACACTGCGACAAATCCACAAAATTTAAAAAGTCAAGTATTTTTTAAGTAGCCTGACATGTTTCATGCCAAGCGCCAACATAAAAATTTACTCTTCATTTATATAGGTTACCTTTAATACCCCAAGTGAAGATGGATTCCTCCTTGCCAGTTGTCTTAAGGATTTTCAACTGAATTGAAATAATATTACTGCATGGTATATAACTAAAATAAAAAATGTTGTCTTGGTAAAGAATATGTATCTATTTGCTGAAAATGAATAAGAACAATCTATTAAAACAACTTTTCCATGGATTTGGATTGACTATTCTACTGAACATTAAAGGCTTACTTACAATAACCAACTAGTGCCACACCAGCATCATCAATATCAACATTGTAACTATTACGGAGGGAAGTATAGTCTTCAAACATTGGCTCCCATTCATCCAATTCTGAACTTTTGGCTGTGTAAGAATCTAGAGATGAAGAAATTATTTATAAGTTAAGTTCCAAAAACAGGTCTAAGTCATGCCTGATAAATTTCTTATTAGTTCTCATAATAAGAAATCATAAATTTTTTACATTTCAAATATATTTAGGCTTACCATACATTCTGGCTGACATATAAAAACAGAATTAGACTCAAAAAGGAAGTTCAAGCTGCGACGGGGAGTGGATATAAACTGCTAAGACAATAAAAAGGAGAAGAAAATGGATGGATCTAAACGGAATAAATCCTAGACTTGAAAAAGGGAAACAAGTTCAACTTGACCGCTAAATGTAGCTCCAACGATGTCTCCCCAGTAGAAGCAGACATAAAAAGAAAACAAAGAAGCCGAGCCAGTATTCTGTCCTTGTTTCAATCACATTTTTTTTTTTTAAATTATTTTTTCCTGTCTATGTTAAAGAAGTCTGGTTGGTTGGTATTAAAATCCATATAAAATGTGGTAAAGACTGGTAAATGTGGTATCAAGTTCTAAGCTTGTGTTACGCAACATGCTTTTATGTATTAATAAGGTAAAAATTTTAGGCCTCACTAAATGTCAGACCTGAGCGAAAGGTTTTGCCTGCAACCTATAGAAATATGCTTAAATTTAGTCATTAATTTTTTCTTGAGTTAATGGATGGCTGTGGGGTTAATATCAATATCAGAATATGGCATAAAAACTTGTGGGCACTCCAAGCAAATAGGACTCGTCAACCTTGGATGGTGGCTCATCTAAAAGAAAGAAACTCTGATTGCAAACATGCACTGCATTGTAGCTACAAACCAATGGATAAGGGAGATAACCCCAACAGAAAAAAAATAGACAATTCTGGCATCTCCTGTGTAGCATCTGGTGTATTATCTAACTTAGTCTACATAACACAATCCCAGGCCTTGTGACCACACCATAACGTCCTTGAGATGGACAGATGCCAGAAAAATATTTGTTGAATTGTTTCATGACTATATTAAGTTTAGAGCTTGACTGGCCCACCGGATCACCATGAAAATCCTGGTGTGCCCGTTATGTTTGGACCAAATGGGCCTTTCTCTCAGTGATAAATGACCCCCTGGCCCACTTCATTCAGTGATATTTGGGCAGCTTGGGCCGCTTCTGCATCACTATAATAGGCCTACTTGCATTTAAATGTCCACTTAAGTTCTTTCTCAATATAAGACATGTCATAGATAAAGTTCATGAGCGACTTATATATGTTGGGAATTGTACATCTTTGACCATAAAAGATATGTTTGAATCATTCCAGGAAAAATCAGTGAATGTAACATTAATATTGATCAGTGTCGTAACACTAAAGAAGGACCCACAAATATGCAAGGAGGGTACAATAGATTTAATAAATGGTTGAGTGATGTTGCACCTCATCAAATTCATGTCTGGGGCTACGTACATGAACCTTGCTCTTTGTAATACCACTCAAACTACAACAGCTTCCATTAGCCTATTGCTAATGTTTAATACTTGTGATGTGTCCTTTAGGTAACCATATGAAAGTATGCTATGTTTGTAGAAATCGATGTTTTATGTCAGTGCTCAGCAATCTTTTTGAGTAAAGTATCAATTTGAATTACAGCTGCTAATAAATATTTTGAGAGTGCAGGTAAGGCCAGCACATATTATAATGCTTAAAACAGTAACACTGTGCACATAATGTATTTTAAAAATAATACACAATAATTTCAAAAATAATACACAATAATAAATGAGTACACTTTTCTGTTTGACAACTTATAAATTACCAGTGTAACACTTGATGAATATAATAATCTAATAGTAAGATGGAAAAAAAAAACAATGATGAGAACTGAAACCCGAACCATGAGATTGTCAAGCATTTTGACAACTTCTTTATATTTTAACAAATATATTTAAAACAGCCCCACGTGTTACCTTAATTTTGGTCCAATGCAGAGTTTTATCATAAAGCTATCTTTCTTTTGTTTTTTTATAACTGCCAACACCAATTAACTTGTCCTAGTGTTGGAGGCTACTCTTAAACTTACTAGAATGTTCTAAATATAGATGGATAATTCTCATCTGCCCTTCTAGAAAACTCTCCCACCCAGACCATAAATAAAAAAGAAACTCCAGAGATACAAGAGCTACAAGAGACTTACACATTTTTCACTGTTTGAGTGTTGATTAATATTTGTACCTTTCTAGTATTATACTTTTTTACTTGCTGTTCCTTAAGTTAATATAGTTTTTGATTTTGTAATATTTTTATATCAAAATTGTTAGCATAAATAAATTAATTGTAGCTAGCACTAGTTGGGTTATCATTGTTTCTTTATTATATTTAATCAATTGTATTGTGTATTTGTTACGTACTGCCCTTTTAAATTTGTTCAACTTTACAAGTGTTCGTCACACGTTGCTTATGCAGTTAGTATCATTTGGTTGGGTTCTGGTGTGATTAGTCCATTTATAACCCTGAATTTTAATTTATTATTAAAATTAGATTTTCAATTATTTGTGTTGGCCTAATTGTAAGGTGATCTGTGATCTTGGCTGATCCCCAGAGAAAAGAAAAGTCGGACAGGGCCGCTTTTGATTTTGTCCCATGTGGCTTGGAAACTCCAGTCCCCAAACATCAATAAAAATTCTGCCTTCTTTAGTCCTCACGATGCATGCTACAGGTATTAAAGACCTCGGTTTCAACCCTTGAAATTTTGGTAAGCCTATATACATATAAATAAATATATATATATATATCAAAATAACTTGTACCCATTTTAAGACTTAGTAACAGTATAATTTTTCCATAATGAGTAGCACAAGCTAAGAGAATAAAAGGTCAATAAAAATAACTAAACATTACCAGGCATGGCCGAGTCTCCACCGGCAGGCATGACCGAGTCTCCACTGGCAGGTATTTGACAAGAGGTATTTACTGTTGCCAGACCTAGTTCAATAAGTTCATAGTTCAAACACATTTCCTGTGGTCCATTTCGATCAAGGAGATAAATGGGAAGAGGCTCAAGCTGGAAACCATCACATCTAAAATGTTATGAAAATAATTAATGAGGAAACAGCCGGCCAAGGAAATAAAGTGGATTAAAGACACCCTAACACTTTGTAGAGGCATATCAGACCTGTTTACTCTTACGATTTTGGCGTACAATGTACGATTTTTAGGTGTATAGGTTGTATTTACTGTTTATTTTTTACTATAAATATAACGTATTGAACGATTTTGTGATGATATTCTACGATTTTAAGAGTTTGAGGGAAAACAGGTCTGGCATATCAACAAACAATGCCTGCTAAAAAGCTTTTGATATTGGACAATTGTCTGCAATCAATAGCTAGTAAGAACAGAAATAGAACATTTTAAAATTTTCCTTTTAAAAAACAATTTTCAGGTAACTGCAGCTTTTTAGATCATATTTTTTTAAATATTTTGTTTCTTTTAAAATAGTTTGCATGCAGTGCCTCTCATAGGTAGATTGGGACCAATATTTTATGACACATGCAGTGTAGCAGGACATATATTTTTTTTTAATATTCATTACTTATGATGTATGACACAAAAGAACCATGAGGGTCAATTGCTATTTAAATGGACATGAATGTCTCCTTTTTCCTACTACAATGCTTTTATTGAAATTTATGTAATATAAAAATAGTTTTATAATTTTAAAAAATAACGACATAAAAAATTAAGCAAAAACATAAAAATATATTATAGAGTATCATATATTGCTAATTCAAAATAATACACAAAAATGTTTACTCAGTGATCTTGAGAGCACTATTTTCTGTAATGATAGTATATAATATATCCTGTGTACAAATCATTGCTTTGAACTCTTCTACCACATGTGATGGCCAGCCTGCTTGTGTGTGTTGTTTCGTTACAGATTCTGTGTTATGAAGTTGAGGTTTGACATTTGCAAGTGTGCACCATAGTACCATAGGTCTTATTTTCTTCAGCTCTTCTGGCAGGGGAAACACATTGCTATGTGACACCCACTCAAAGTCACCATAATCAATAAAGAAAATGAGAACCTGTTGAGAAAAGGTAAAGCATAAATTACTTAAAAGTATTATTTTCTACGCATCTACTATATAAAGCTCAGTGTGGTATGTTCGTTTGTTGATGGATCGATCAATTACCAGAAGACTAAACAATGATCACAACCACATTATACATAATGGTTCCGGGGAAAGTTTGCTCATATTCCCTTTATACCAAATGGTTTAATTTTTAATAAGTTGTAAGCTGTGTGGTTAAAGAATAAAAATTTCAGTCCATAGTTGATTTCACTTTTTTAAATAAATTATTTACATGTTGTACATTTATTTTAAACTTCTTAAATGCTAAACACAATAAGCTTGTCTATTTTTTTAATAGATATTGACATGATAATGTTAATGTCTTCTTTATGTTTCTATAAGTCTCTATGATTTTCCTCAAATGCTTCAACATCAGATTTAAGGATCCAAATGAGTATAGGAGGCTCTACAATGTATTTTCCTTATAATAGCCAAAGATATAGGCCTACATGAAGGCTTAGGTTACAATGAAAGCTTCTATGTAAATTGTTGCAACTAGATCAAACGTGGTCAAAATATACTTCATTATCCCTTTAAAAACCGATTCTAATGGGACAATTTGTAAAATAAAGTTTGTTCATTATCTAACTTAAAAAATAAAAGGATTTAATTATTTTTTCTCATATATACATTTAATGGATAGATCTAGATGGAGCTTGGTACAAATGCACTTGAAAATCCATATTAAAAAACTGGAGGGTTTTGAACAAATGGTGGGGCCAGGGATACTAATTTCATTTTCTTTATATTTATATACGCTATATCTTTTAGAATTTTCAACCAATTTAATGGCACAACTTTAAAAATTTTTTGCTCTGCTATTTATCTGATGAATTATTTAGGGTCCCTATCTTAGAGATAAATAAAACGTCACATTATAGAATGTTTCCCCAATGAGGGTCCTTATTTTAACATAAATGGAAAACTATAGAGTTACGAAATTTTGTTTTAGAAGTTTTAGTCTTGGGATAATAACTAAATAACAATAGTCACTTTTTACAAATTATTTAAAGGTTTAAAAAAATGTGTAAGATTTTCCAGCAAGTTCTTTATTGATCATCTAGGTATAGGGATTATGAAAATGTCAATGGTATCTAAAAGTTTATGGAAATTTTATTTTAGTTTTAAAGATTTCTATACTTGCTAGGGAGTTTCGGCCATACGGGTTAATGTCTTTTTTAAAGTTTCTTGAAGCTTCTTAGTCTAGAATGTTTTATTTTTTATAAGGGTTTAAGATTATATAAATGTATATTATGTTTCAATAAGTGTCTATGATTATCCTCAAATTTTATGATCTCAGATTTAAAGATATTTTTAGAGTTTCTAGAATGTTCCAAATGAGTGTAGGAGGTTCTATGATGTATTTTCCTTATAACAGCCAAAGCTATACAAGAAGGTTAGGTTAAAATGCAAGCTTCTACGTAAATATTTGCATCAAAGCCAAACTTGTTAAATATACATTTCATAATCCCTTTTAAAATATCAGTAGATTTCATACTAATAATATCCACAACTTATTTGTGCCCAGTTTTGTTTTAAATAAAACTATATATCTTTTGTGTTTTCAACCAATTTTATTGGGACAATTTTTTAAATAAAGTTTGTTCGTTTTCCAATCTAAAATACTCACTAAAAAGTTCTTTTGGCACCGGGTGCCCCAATAGTAAAAGTTTAAAAGGTAGCACCTTTGCAAATTTCTTCCCATTGTAATGGGGAACATTTGAAAAATTAATTTGAATGTTCATCGGAATGATTTGTATAGTTTCCCTTTCTTAGGGATAACTAAAATGGCCTCTTTTGAATGAGGATCCTATTTCATTTTAATTGATAAACAGCAAGAGCTTTGGCATTAGTTAATACCTTTTTTTAATCAGATATCTTTTAAAAGTTAGACTTGGTCTTTAAATCCTGCTTGAATATTCCCTGAAAAGGGCCTGGCCAGACATTCAATCTTTACAAGAGTTATTATAAATCTGGCTTTTTATAGAACAACATTTTACATTTTAATTGGTAATTTTGCAAAGTGTTTTTGACAGGGCCTAAATTTATGTGTATTCTGATAACATTTTAGACATTAGACTTTTTTACTGTTTGACACAACCATGTTCTTTTAATAAACAGAAATGAACATTGTAACATTTGAATAAACTACAGTTCATTGCATAGGAAATGGGGGTAGGGGTGATGTGGCCTTAGTTACAAGTATCATATAGTTCAGTGGCAGGCATAATGAGTGCCTTGTCATATCTAGATTTACCAACCTAGGTGTTCCTTTTTTTAAATTTTATTTTAATAGGTGTGTTGTGAAGGGAGAATCCCAAGTTTGAGATTTAGCCCAAAATCAGCACTTAATCCAAATAGGGGTTGGTGCATTTTATGAGGATAGCAATGTCTCAAAGACATCATTTGTTACACTTGGAACAATTTTAAGTCCTTGTGAGATTACACTTTTTTAATTAAATTATTTAAATTTTGTACATTTATTTTAACCTCCTTAAATACAAAACAAAGTTTATGTCTCAATTTTATTATTGACATCGGATAATCACAAAGAAGAAGTAACAGTGCCTAACCTAGGCTCTGAATAAAAGTCTAGAGAGGAAAATAGTCACCTGCAAGATGAGACTACTGGCAAAATAAGAAGAGACCTTAATCAGAACCAGGAAATTAGCCAAATAGTGGGTTCCATCCCAATAAGCTCAACAACAAATTAATTTGTTTGGATCCTGGTCAGTTACTTTAGTCAGGTGTTTTTTTACTAGTTCTTTTTTAGAAAAGATTTTTTTCCAAATACAAACCCTAGAAAAGTTGGTTGTATTTGCTAATAAGGAATATAATGAACATTTAGCTTTACTAACAAAATTGATAAGCTTGAAATCTCTAAAACTATATTTGAAATAATGCTGCCCAGTTTTACCTTGGCTGTCTTAAAGCTTGAAATAACTGACATCATTAAAGAAAACATTACCTTTCCAATTTCATGATTCTGTGCATCTGCCGGTTCTTGATAACTTTCCAACACTAAACCTCTGTACAGTTGTCCATCTAGTGAGCATACTGCGCAACACAGTGAGTTTTTTATTGGCGTGAAATTCTTGGACCTAAGTCGAAGCTCAGATTTTGACAGAGTCATCATCTTTTCCCTTAGGTGGTCTAAAGTTTTGCCAGTTTCCTCAGTAGCACAATGGACAAATAAACTGCTAGGAGAGACCACATTACTCAACATGACCTGAATCTCAATATCAGGTAGGACAATGGGCATGGCTGTGTTCACATCTTTATTTTCTGATCTATACAAGGCCACACGACGAGATAAGAGCAAATTATGACCAAGCTCAAAACACTTTTCAATGTCTTTATTTCTTTGCCATTCAGGATCTTTATTTATTTCCAAGTTATTTGATTTAACTTTTGGGGATAGACTTGACGAAGTTTTTACTAATCCTCTCTGATTTTCATGAAGAGGTTGTGATTTTATGTCTTTATCAACCAAAGCAGCTGGGCCATTCAGTTTGCTATTGAAATTAACATTACAATCAGAGCAATGTGAGTTGCCTGTAGATTTAGAATCATGAGAAGGACAGAACTGCCTGATCAAGGCACGTTCCAGATCTTTAAGTTTTATTGTTTTAGCTAAGTCTTTTTCAATCAGAATGGCTGCAAGGCTCTGAGGTGAGTTAATACTTTGTTTTTTTAAAATGGCATCAACAATATGAGGTAATGAGGGGTCATTTTTGCCACTGTGAAGACTAACAATTCTTATTTGAACCTGCTCATTGTTGGAATATTGTTGAAAATAAAGAATTGCTTCCTCCGGCCACATGAATTCACTATTTTTGGGGCTAGCCTAAAATAAGAATAATGTAATGCATCAAAATAGAGCCCAATATTTCATTAATGCATACAATGGTTTGATAATAATTAAATTTATTGAAATATAATTTAATTTATGTCAAATTTCTTAAATAAATAATTATCATTTGTATATAAAAATAGATGGGTAAGATTAGGCTGATTCAAAAGGTATACTTTTAGCTTGAAAGTGTATATTTTCTGCCATAACATTACATTTCACCCTTTAAAAGAAAGTAAACCAAAATTTATAAATAGAAATTATACTTATTTAAAAGACACATCAAAGATAAACACCCCAAACGGTAATGTTTGTTGGTAAAAGTAATTGTGTTGTTTCAACCAAGTTAAAAATCGTCTGTAAGGGCAGACCTGCATATATTTACATAGACTTATCATTATTTAAAACTTTCATAGGAGATATTGCTTGGATAGCAAATGTTTTTGATAATGTATTTTAAAGAGAGAAAAAAACTTACACCTGAGAGGGCACAGAAAAGGTTATTAGCAGGGTATGTGGCCAAGTCCTTGGGCAAAACAAAAACATCATTTACAGATATTGTCAGGCTGTTCCCATAGTCCACATAAATCACCTTTACTTTGTCTTCACTTTCTGTTTCATGAAAAGAAACAAAATCTAAATCCCAGTTACATTTTTTGAACATGGATACTGATTGGGCAAATCAGTTTATGAGCTGGGTTTTATAATTCTCATAGATGACAAAGAGGACTAGTGATCTGTCTGTATCTCTCATTTTATTTTTTCCCAGTGGTATATAAGAAATTAAAAACATCAGAAGGATTGCTTATCTCAAATGAAAGAAAATTAGACACTACTGTAACAAAATTTTATGGAATTTTGTTGCAATTTTATGCCTCGAGACATTTTGCACCAAAAACAATTATGTTCTTGGCCATGAACACAATTTTTTACTTGACGGTGTGAGGCAAGCACATCCATTCTTTACTTTTTATTTTTTTAAACATCAGCACTTTACTTTAAATAGCTCTGCCTCAAAATTAACATAAACTAACCTTGCACTGATAAAATTTTGGCTCTGTAATATTTGCTATCTTTAAATTTGGCTAAGCAGAAGAGGCCCTGGCGAGGAACAACATTCTTCTGCTTCCCACTGCTTATGAGTTTTCTGAAATTTTAATAGTTGAAATGTACATAAATAGGAATCCAATTGAGCCAACTAGATTATAAAAAATTGGATCTGTTTTCAAAGATTTCAAAGTAACATGATCAACACAAACTGTGAATTTTTTTAATTTGGTTTTCCATAACTATAAGAAATGGGTAATATTGTCTAATATTAAAAATGGTTTGAGTAGGAAAACATTCTAAAATAACTGACAAAATAGATTTTAATAAAAATGGCATATTAAATTTTTGGTGGATTTTTGCTTTTGTTTAAAGAAAATATATTTAAACCAGGAAAAGGAAACTTTGGCATAAAACATTTGTCACTAATTTCCAATTCATGGCCTATATAATTAATATAATAGAGTCATACTTTACTCTATACAAAACTGTCAGCTCTTGATCTAAACATAATGTGAAAGGTCAAAAAGTGTTTTCTAATATTATATATTGACTCTTGAAGAAATTATTAAAAACTTAAACCTACCCTATTTTCTCTTCCATTTCATCATCAAATATACGCTGTAACTGAACATGGAATGACCATGGGTGATCAACATCACTGATTGCAACCGCTAGAATATCATCTTTTTGGACCAACCAATCTGGAATGCTGACTTTGAAATTTTTGTAATTATTTAAAATAACAAAATAGCCAAATATTTTCTTTTTCATTTCAAATTCAATCATAACTTCTGGTATCTAGGTGTCTTTTGAGAGTGTGCAGCTTCATAGCTCAACCCACATTTCAATTGGTACAAAGCGAGTGGGTAAGGGAAGAGTTAACAACTTTCTTTAGTCAGTGCCAGATTAACCATGTCACAACTGGTGCACTTGCACCAGGCCTACTTATTACAGCCAGTTTTTAAGTATTATGGATTGTACGACCAATAAGGCATTATCTTTTATCTAAATAGATGGAATTTTATAAACTATGTGAACGTGAAGAAATGTTTAGTTGAGTTAATTAGTAATACTAAAATTTAATATAATAATGAAATATATATATATATAAAGGTAAATTCTAAAAAAAATTTCTCTGATTGGCAGAATCATCGTAAGGAAATGTGAATTGGAATTTGTTTGCAAACAGCATGGAGTGGCAGTATTTCTCCTAGTGCTGGGGGGGTTCTCTTGAATTTACTAGACTAGACTTACAGTCTTTAGGCCTAAAGAAAGTCCTTACTTACTAGAAATTGTCAAACAGGGTGCTTTTGTTCTGAACATGGCACCTGAGCGTGATGCAGCACTATGAATTAATGTAGCTATTTAGGTACACTGCATATCTAAGTCATGACTACACTGAGCATGGAAATGTCATTTGGTTGCTGTCAGTCATAAATTTATGTGAGCATGATTCCATTGCAGACATTTTTCAAGGAAAAAGTTAAGCTAAATATTGTCCATATATAGTTGGTAAAAAGAGAATAAATATTTTAAATGATATATGCTTAAGCAATGATCAATCTCATCATATATTATTTAGAGCATTTAGTTGTTGAAAAGTAAATATTGAAGATGTAATGGAAGGTGCATTTTGAAAAATAATTACTAATTCTTAACATAACGGTGCATGTATGGTGTAGGTAAAATCAGATCTGTAACCAAAGACAGAAGAGAGGAAGAGAACAATTTTTTTGAGAAATTTTGATTTCATTTTGTGGAGAAAAAAAATTAACCACTTCTGTATATGCAAATATTTTAATCCTGATGACTCTTTTGTTTGGTCTCCAGAAGCAGGTAGGGAACCACAATCTAATGTCTAAAATATAATCTGTTAATCCAATAATTAATCCTACCTTTTTGAATTGCAGCATTGGAGAGGGATTCATTCCTTACTTCATGTACAATTTGATCCAAATTTGTTTTAAATGATGTTTTATTTCTACTTCCCAAAAACTGATCGAAATCACTTGGTGCTTGCTTAGATGAAATCCTCTGTACTGAGCTGCCTTTGTTTAACATGAATGGCTTTGCATAAATAGAGGGCACATTTAATCCATCCCGTTCATCAATTTTAGGCTCCTGCTCTGTTTTTGAAACTTCACTTAAGACTAGTGAATTGTTATTTCGACTAAACTGCCTGGTACATGGAGGGGCTTTAACATTAAAAGGTAGGTCATTTGTTGCCAATGGTGGCAACATATCTTGTGAATTTGATTTCTGAAGTGGTGCTGACACCTCTGATGAAACATTTTTTAGGCACATGGTTAGTGATGAAGGAGCTGAATATTTTAAGGCTGCATGAGGTTTTGTTCCATGGGGAAGCTGAGAATGATCATCACCAATGTCTGTGGTAACAGCATTTTGAAGTTCAGACATGGGAGTACTTGAACTGAAGGACCTTGTCAGCTCTTGCAATTGGGGTTCTAATGTAGTTGCATTTGACTTTGCAATGTCTTCATCTGTTTTATTTGATTCAAAAACAGAACCTAGATTCATTTCCTGATTTCCAGATAGGTGAGGCAAGTTTTTTGATGACTGGGAAGGATCTAATAAAAATGGCTTGCTAAGAAACAATTTTTCAGAAGATTCTCTATTCCCTGTATCAATTTTGGAAAATATTACGTCCTCATCTGTAGCTAAAGTTTTAAATTTCTTATCAAGACTTGGGTTATTAGAGCTTGGCTGAACGTTTTGTTCTTTACTTTCAGATGATTCAAATTGTCTTTGGTCATCTGGAAAATCAACATAGTAAAATTATATTAAGTTTTAAAATAAAAAGATTATGGCACTTATTTAGAAATAAAAGAAGTATAACTTATGTCAAAGTCATTAGCACAGAATTTTAAATATATTATGTGGCATATGCAACATTGCTAACAAAAACACAATTTAGTTGACTTTTTAAATATCTTATCATACACTATAATAATTTGCATTCACTATCATCTGAATGAATTGCTACATTTTAAAGTCGTTGTTTTTTTCTAATGGCAATTAAAGACTCACAAGTTAGTTTGAAAAAGTTAACAATATATGGAAAAGATTAAATTACCTATTTGTCAATTACTCTAAAGGCAATTACTTCCCTAGTTTTGAACTTTGAGTACCTTATGAAACTCTTAACAAATGTTTTTCAAATTAAAATATTTCTGTCTAATTCTAAGAATAAGGATTAAATTTTAGATTCCTATGAAAATTTTACTAATAGGCATAAAAGCATTGAAGAATAACAACTATTTGAAGAGATCTACACAAAAAAAATCAAACATTTGACCAGATTTGCCTGTAATTTAAACTTACTTCAGTATGCACATGGTGCAGAATTTTTATCTAGAATATTCTGAAACTCTTGCCCTATCAATTTCAAGTAATTACAATCAACAAAATACCAAGAGTCACTTCCTAGTCTGGCCATGGTATACATTTAACAAGATATCAAAACAGATTGGAAAATAAGTGTAAAATATTCATAAAATTGCAACTAAATTACTTATCAAAAGCTAAGAACAAACAAAGTTTTACATTACAACTTACATAAAATGGAATCCATGTTTATTGCAATCTTTGTAAACAGTTCTGATGTCTTATCTAGTTTCTGTAAGACTGTACTGTATACTGCAAGGCTTTGTCCAGGGACAGGCTGACTGTTCAGAAGATTTTCTGCAGCCTTGACCACCTTTCAAGTTTAAAACAAAGTTGCAAAATTAGAGCATTAGGTGTACAGTATTACACTAATGACTTTTTAGAACAAATCCCTCTAACCAACATATTTCAGTATTTCTTAAACCAGTGCTCAGCAAACTTTTAAACTCACGGCACACCTAGACCATTCCCAGATTTCCGCAGCAAACCACAATTAAAACATGAAGAAAAAACATAACTCGTTTACTTTTGTTGACATGTGGTAACATTTTTTATCTGTTTCTTTTAATTTATTATAGTACATTGAAAAAAAATTGTATGATGAACAAGTTTTTCTTTTCTTCAAAAAAAGAGTTTAATTTCAATTTTTTTCAAAATAATTTTTTTAAAGGATACTGAATGTTATTATTCATTTTCCATACATCTACCAGTTCAATTGTTTTAAAATTGTGTATACTTGTTTAAATACTGTTTAAGACTACAGTGACAGAGGAGGTTAGCTTAAAAAATATCATGAAAAATATATATTTTTACTGAAAGTGGTATTTTTAAAGAAAAAGATGTGCGACCAAAGAAGGAAAAAAAGCACCAAAAGGACATAAAATTATAAAAAGTCTGCTATCTTTTTACCCAAATTCTCAATGTTATTACGTTTAGTAGGCTTATGGCTAATTAATAGCAAAAATTTGAGACCTGCGCCTGCTGTGGCTTTATTTAAAACACTTCTAATGATTCCAATGATTTTACCATCTCGACCCCCATTTTGCTCTGCTGGGGTAAAATATTTTTGAAAATAATTAAATTTGTCCATCATATTTTGCTGATCTAAGCCCATATGGATAACATAAAAACTTTAAACATGTTAAAATGTTAATAATTTAGAAAATGAAAATGAAGGTAGTTAACCCCCTTGAAGCACAAATATCAATAGAACACAAATATGGGGGGTGGGGGTGGGGCTAAACTGTGTAGGGGCTACATAAATTAAAATATTTAAATTTATTAAAGTGGATGTAACAGTACTTAGGGGTCAGACATGGAAATCAGTGAAGCAAATCAGAGTTTACAAAGATAAGAAGCTGCAAGTGTTCCAGACCCAACACATTTCAGTAATACAATGTATTATACATAGAAATTCTGGTCAAGATTTGCAATAATGCAATATTATGGGACTTAGAACATCAAATGTCAAATCAAACTCAGAGGCTTTTATTAGCATTCTAAACATCATTAAATATTTTAACTGATCAAATTATGTTTAGAAGGTTAATAAAAGGTTCTGAATTCGATTACAAATATTGTTACTTATCAGTGTTATCCCAAAGCCTGGATCTCACATTATATAACATTATATGTAAAATACATTTTAAAAATTGATTATCTAAATTCTCACCTCACCAGCATAGTCATCTATAATATCTAGAATGTCTTGCTTTTGTTTCTCTAACACAGCTAACTTCATTTTTACTGTTGTTTGAATCTGTTGTGACTGTCTTTTACTTCTGTTAATCATCATGCTTAACCTGTTAAAAAGAAATAAATTTTCAAATCAGCAGTGATGTCTGGTGGAAAAATGAAATTAAAAAAAATTACATTTATATCAGCAAAAAGTTACATCATAATTCATCAAATGTCATGCCCATGGCTTGATTCAATTTTTAAAAGGCAATGGATTTTGTCTATATAAAACAATGTGAGGACGACATAAGCCAATCTTTTATTTTATACCGGTACCAAAATGTTGTTTGTAAGTGTAACAAAAATTATTTGCATATTTTCCTTATCTTGGTTTCTTTAACTTTAAATCAAATTTATACAAAACTGAAAATTTTTTTTTTTTTTTTTTGTCTACAGGGATTGATGGATTTTGACCAAAATTTAATTTTTTATTTTATACCGGTACCAAAATGTTGTTTGTAAGTGTAACAAAAATTATTTGCATATTTTCCTTATTTTGGTTTTTTTAACTTTAAATCAAATTTATACAAAACTGAAAATTTTTTTTTTTTTTTTGTCTACAGGGATTGATGGATTTTGACCAAAATTGGCACATATCTCCATCATTATCTAGAATAAAATGGAGGGAGGGGGATGTTTTCAACTTTATAAAATATTCCATTTGGGGCAAGAGCACAAAATTTCATTTTTTCCTATATGAGTTATATAAATTAAATTATCAACAAATACTCCTGCATGAATGGATGGATCTAGACCAGGTCTCTCAAACTCAATCATCCGGGGGGCCACAGGAGGTAGAGTCTGAGTGAGACTGGGCCGCATCAAGTATTCCACACAAAAAACGCGATTACAAATTCAATAACGCACAACTGTTAAAATCTGCTGAACCTTTATTAATAAAAAATAAAAACAATGGGTTCTCAAGAACTTGTCTTCACTTTCTTCCTCCTACTCCTTGTTGCCAGAGATCTGGCAGCGCTTCTTCTTACACAGCTGAGCAACATTTAGTTTGAGTGAGGAAGCAACTGAGACCCTCAGTATAGCTGGAAGATGCTCATCAGTAAGTTTGGTCCTGAACTTTGACTTGTTAATAGTTGCAAATAGTTGTTAATAGTGGAAAAGAGCTTTTCACACAGATAGGTATTCCAAAAAAGGCACATGATCCGCTTGAACAACCGGGAAATCTCAGGGAACGTGGAGGGCACTGCTCTCATAAATTATCCATGATTGTCTGTTTTTCCATTCATCTCCCTGAACTTAGAATTGCACTGGAGATCAATTAGGTCCATTTGAAGTGCAAGTAGGGGGGTGGGGATGCATCTTCCAAATTAAAGGAGAAATGGTCAGCAAAAAGTTGAAAAGTGGCTCCATCTGTTTTAAAGTCTAAAAACATGTGATCAAATTCTTCCTGCAGCTTTGCAATGGCATCAGTATACTTACTACTGACGGGTGTGCCCGTATCCATGAGTACTTTGCATGTTGGCAAATGACAGAGGTTTCTCTAAGAATCATAACACAAGTTTTGTGCAGAATGCCCTGACATTGTCATAGGTAACACTGACAAGCTACCCCTGGTCTTGTACCTTCTTGTTGAGTACTTTCAACTCCTATGTAATGTCAACAAGAAAAGCCAAGTCCATGAGCCATTTGAGATCAATTAGTAAAGGAACAACCACCCCTTGTTTCTCCATGAAGGCTTTAAATGCTAAACAGTAGGCAAGCACAAGCCATATTTATGAATTATTGATACAAAGGAAGAAGCTATTGCTGGGAGAATTAATTTTTATTTTTTTATCGAAGAAAAGGCCTTTTTGACTAATCCCGTTTTGAAAGTGACCAAGCTGACAGGCTCGGAATTTCCCTCGCTCGTAAACACTAGCGGCAATTTTCATAGGTATTCTTTGATACTGTGTGAGATTGCTATGATTTACACAATTATAGTTGTACATTATCCACTAACTGAATTTTTAAAATTGTCTCAAATCCGCACTTTGGCCATGTTTGTCTAATAAAATGCTATGAAATAAAAACTTTTAGTCTGGCTTTAAAACTGTTTTTACCATTACAATCAATGTCCAAATCTATACAAATATAATAAAAATCAGAATTAGACTAGTTGGTGAGATTCGACTGAAACTGTCATGGATGGTCACATTATAGATATGAGAATGGGGAAAACGTACGGGCCACATTAACACTAAACTTTGCTGTCATGTAGCTGGCCGCAAAATATTGTCTTGTGGGCCACGAGTTTGAGACCCCTGATCTAGACCAAACTTAGTACACATTTACCAATTTACCCAGACACCACCAATCATTCATTAACCATGACATGTCATGTACTGTATTTAAACTGTGATAGATGCAATCAAGGCCAAGGAGATTCAGACAGACTGGTAGGCCTAATAGTAAATAGACTAATAGACAGAGGCGTAGCGAGGGGGGAGGGACAGATGTCCCTGGGCGCAATCTAGTTAGGGGCGCCAAAATGTGCTTTGATATTAAATTATTGGTAAAAATAAGGGGTTTGAGAGTTGAAAAAAAGAAAAGGGGGGCTTTAAAATGAATCTTGTCCCCGGGCACCTCTGCTAATAGAGCAAATAAAATTGCAAAGGACTTGAACTTGTAATTGTTATGAGTGAATGATTTTAATAACTAGCAATATAGCTATATTATTTGTCTTTACTTTATTTAGTCTTTATTCTTTATTAAGTTACCGGTACTAATTACTAAAAGTAAATTATGAATGATTCACCAGTCAGTTACTTCGATTTCGATGAGTTAAAGCAAGTTATTATTGATCTGCTGCAGCACCTTAACGCTAACTCTCTTCCTTATGATTCTTTTTTTATTTAATTAAGTAGCGAATAAACTAGCAGCTATGCAATTAAAAATTTAATGTATCCTGGTGTTAACGTATTTGACTGAACAGGCTGCTACTTTTAGCAATTTTAAACGGATTACATGTATAACGTAGTAACAGTGTTGCCATTCAGATTTTTAAAAATTCCCCAGATTTGATCTAGAAATTTCCCCAGAGTATTACAAAAATATTGTACATTATGATACATTTAAGTTTCCAGAACGTGTGAAAGCACGTGCTTAGACGGTAAAGGGGCCGGGGCGTCTACAAGGGTGGGGGATGGGAACCAACCCCTTCCAATGTAAGTTAGAGGGGGTTCTTGAATTTCTCCAGAAAACAAAATTAATTTCCTGAAGGAAAAATCTCTGGATTTGATAAGTTGTGCTGAAAGTTTTGAAAAAATACTAAGCTATCATCGAAATTGTAATTTTTTTTTTTTTTAAATCAAAACTTTTATTTAATAGTGACAGCTTTTCTTTAAAAAAAAATTAACTGAATTTTTTTGCATTACTAACATTTATAGTGAACTCTCGAATTAAATACCCAGTTCAAGGTTTTTTTTGTTTTTTTTAGCAGGCAGCTCTCCGGGGAGGAGGTAATTCCCCTCCCACCAGTAAGAGATTATAATAGAAGAGAAGAAATGTACTTTTAAATTAGGATATAAATGTTTATATGTTTTAAACATCTCACCATTAATATTTCACTTTACTAGGAGCCGTTAGGATAGCCGCATGGTTTCCCAGACCGTTGCATATGCTGGTACTTGGTTGCAGCAACGTATTCTATCAGAATCATACGTACTAAGTCACATTAATCACATGTTTATTATTATTGTGTAAGTTCCACTGTTCTCTTAGCTATTCAATAAATTAATAAAGTCAATGAGTTAAACTCATTGTTACTTTAATGGAGGTGCAAGACTTAGTAAAACAACTTGTATTGGGTGCAAGACTCGTCAAATAATTCATAGGGTAAAAAATTCATAATTTTGTTATGTATGCGCACGATATGTAATGGGTGGTTTAGGGTACACCCCTCGGGGGAGGCACACTTTCCACTGCATGTCCTTTTACGGCACTCGTTTCACTGTATCTTTTACCATCAATAATATACTACGTCATTTAACGTTCTATCAGCTTTAATCCAGGGGTGTTAAAAAAAGAAAAAGATTTTAACTATTCCAAAAAGTGGCTGGGAGGGAACGTTTCGTTAAATTCCTAGATCTGGGTAAATTTCCCAAGGTCTGGTAGCCCTTGATGGCACTAGCAGAAATTAAAACACAGAGTGAATACATTTACCGCCGCGGTAAATCTAAGTAATATATATTTATTAGGTGACTGGGTGGTAGAATGGTGTAAACTGAATAAAATTCCAAGCTTGTGGTCTGGAGTTCATTTTATACTTCTGCCTGACGCCAACACAATATAATAAAATAAAAATTAATGAAGATAGGGTCACTTTTTGGTTTTTTCCCGGGCCGCTTGAAATCCCCAGTCCACCCCTGCATGAAGCTAATAATAATAAGGGGGGAGAGACTGCAAGCAGGTTAAGTACAAGTAAATAATTGCAACAAAGTATGGAAAGACATGAAAAAGGACGCAACACAACTATGAACATCTCAACAAGAACCCCCTTCAGTGAACAGTAAAAACAATATAAAAATTAAAATAAACAGTTAGCGGCAATGGAGTACGGTATCCAAGAGGGCAGCAAGAGGAATGTAACAGATCATTAACAACCCTCTTTTGTATATATTATTATATATTAAATCTTACCTACTATTGTATTTGATGCTTACTTAAAACTCTTTTATGTTGGATTTGAATAGCTTTTAGTATACCAAGGTCAGTTCTGATTCTACTCTCTGCTTAATTGTTTTAGCTGATGAAGTAAGAAGGCATCCAGCTGAAACGTCCTTATGATTATGAGTGCCATTTGTTTTTTTAGGCTTTCACTAACGATGCCCTTGGTAATTCATCTAGTTCTTAACTCAATTTACTACTTTAAGTTATACAAATAATTAATTCTAATTTAATTGCTGCTGTAAATGCTTCTTTTGGTACACGATTTCACTACTTTTAACACAACAGACACGCGTATTCTTTCTGTTCCCAGAACATGCACTAAAACATCTTTCTCTTTTGGTGCCCTCAAACAATGGAATTCTCTCCCATTAACATCCGCAATATGCCGACCATCTCTTCCTTCAAAACTGCACTCAAGACCCATCTCTTCAAACTCTACTATACCGACTCGTTCTCACGCCACCTCTGATAAACAACGATCGATGCTGCTGGGTGCTGTCCATGGCCATGGCTACACAAGGGTAGATAGTACTTGAGTGTGTGAGGTCAAGCTTTTTACCTATTGTTTTTAAATGTATAATTTTCTGTAACTGCTAATTTTTATGTGAAGCGCAGTGAGCCTATCCCTAGACTGGGGTACTGCGCTATATAAAACCACCTAAATAATAATAATAATAATAATAATGATAATAATAATAATAATAATAATAATAATAATAATAAACGCAACGCTGAAAACAGATTCTAAGTTTGCTGTGATGTAAACATTGCTTTTAGTGCATTTGGGTTTACCATCGTGGTAAATGTAGTTAGAAAGAGTCTGAAAAATTTATTTAGAATTTTAGTTCCGGGTCAAACATGGCGTCAAAATTAACTAAACTACAGTTCTCAAAAGTGGTTACCACTAGAGGAGTAATATTTTCAGGATTTTCTCATTAGCTTTAATATGTTTTGGCCAACTTACTCTTTACGGGTTCCCTGAAGTTTCTGCGTTTGAGTGAACTCCCCTATCAGAAGTGAGAGTGAGAGGTTGGGATTAAAAAATATTAAAAACATTATATTAGGTTTGTAAGACCGTAAGACAAAATTTTGGTATCAAATGAAAGATAATTGAATTGACTATACTTAATATGTATGTAAAGTATGTAAACTTACGGCTAATACTCATAGAGTTTAGGGATACATTTAGGGTTCAGGGACAGTGAATTATAAAAGTTCACAGGTCATGGCAACCAAAATGCCAGCCATGTGATATGTCAAGGCATCAATTGTCTGCATTTATCAAACTTACTTCTTCAGTTTAGCTAAAATAAACTACCACAAATGACATCGGAATAGCATTTAGTCTAAAGGGACCAAGGTCCGAATAGCGGCTATGCCATGTGCTCCAACAACTCCCGATCAGATAGAAGAACTCGATACTAATGGGCAACCTATTGTGATGGACCATGAATTTATCTTTAGGAACAAGTTCAAGAATGATGATTTGCTCTGCCGTTTCTTGGCTACCGTAGTTACCAATTATCCATGTTGACTTTTGTGCTTAAATAAAGTGCTTAATTGTCATTAATTAAATGTTGTGAATTCAAGCACCTAATTTCTAAACTGGATAATAACCCAAACTTTAATCATTAAATGAAACCAACATCAATTTTCTAGCTTTAGTAGTTTTTTAACTATACATTCTTTAAATGAATGCCAGTTTGATTGTTGGCACTATCATATGCTATCATACGCTTTTTTGTAGTCCACGTATAGTTAGGATGTTGTATTTGTACCATTTCTCCAGGAGACATCTGATGGTAAGATATGATAAGTGGTTGATCTATTCTGTCAGAATCCACACTTATAGTCACCTGGGATCGGTTCACTTTATCTTTTCAGTTTTCTTTTAAGATACGTAAGAATTTTGTAAGTTACATTATATAGGGCGGTTACTCTATAATTTGAGCAATCCAGTTTAAATCCTTTCTTTTGAATTGGAATTATGAGCACAATACCCTATTCATTTGGCATTTCTTCCTCCTGCCAAATGCTGGATATGAGGTCACGGATTTGTCTATAGTCTATGCAGTTCGTTTCCACACAGTTTTATCAGTTCTGGAATGATAAGGTCTATTCCTATGGCTTTATAATTTTTCATGGTAACATCTTTTGTTTCATTTAGAGTTGGTTGGCTGACCAGTGTGTCCACTCTTCCTTGTGGTAGTTTGTAATCCTCATTGGCTCCTCCACATGAGCCATTTAACATCCCTTCAAAGTGTTGTGCTCATGTCTCTAGTACCCTACTCAGTAGGCTACTGCTGGCTGGGATCAGTTCTCCATCTATACTTTCACACATGTGGGATCTTGCTTAAAAATCATTCTTTTCCTGCTTTACCTTTAGATGCATTCCACTCACAACTGTCTCTTTCCTTTGCCAGCTCTTCTATCTTTACTATTTTTTTACTTTTTCCAATCACATTTTTTCTTTCTATAAATTTTGGTAACCACCATTCTGTTTCATTATATAATTGTTGTGTTATTCTTTTCTCCAGTTGCAGCATCATTAGTTGAGCCTTGTTTCTTTCTTCTATAACTTCCCTGCATTCTTTCTGTGCTTTTCTCTGTCCGTTTAAATTCTATTGTTTTTTCTTTTACACTTTTAACAATTTGATTCATTTTTTCCCCCATTGCTTCATTGCTTATTTATATTGATATTGTTGACCATTTCCATTTTTGATAATTCTAGTTGAGTTTGAATCTTTTATTGATAGGCCTCAGTCATTTTTGGTCTCTACTCAACTTCTGGCTAATGTACTGTTTTTCTCTTTCATATTTTATATTTCTGATGTTACATATTCTTTGTTAATATTTAATTTTTACAAGGAGATGGTCATAGTCTATGTCTACATTACATGTAATATGTCAGTGCAATGCCTTGTATGGCGTGGCTGACATCCCGTCGGGTACCTACCCAGGTGGCAGATAAGGGAACGCTCACCAGATATGGCTGATACTCAGGAAATAAAATACCAGGGTGGGCCAAAGTCAGCAACTGCTGTCTTGCAGTTTGTAAAGGGATTTACAAAGCTAGGGACCTGACGCAAAATAAGGCAGCTAACCTGAGAGTAGTAAGGGGCATCCCTCAGATGGTTGTGCCAAAGGCTTAAGACCCTTTCAGTTAAAAAAAAATGTGACAAAAGCTTCGAAACAAATGAAAAATAAGATGGAAAATAATCAAATAGATCATGTTCTGTTTGATTGAAAGCATGTTTTGACTTGATCTTTAA